CCCTAGTCCAGCTTCGGGCCAACAGCTGGGCTTTGCTGGATCCTCGAGTGGACCTGGCTTCCTCCCAGAGGCACTGGCGCTAACAAGCTCAGGCTGAAATTACAGTCAGGCACGGAGGACTCACCCTATGGATGGGAAGCTAATCTGTTTTCACTTTAATTAACACTTACGTGAGAATTACCTGTGACCTAATAATAAAATTGAACCCAAAAAATTACATATACATTGAATCCAACTGAAAAATCAGCCACAGGGACTTGGTAACTTGTGTTACAGAAAAATAAAAATCCAAGAAAGGGTAAGGAATGTGCTGAAACGCAAACAGCTGCTCAGTTCCGCATTCTGGTTCCGGCCGGCAAAGGGCTGCTTTGACCTTCCTTGCAGTGTCACGGGGCCTATTGTTTAGAACTGAGAACAATGCCCTTGTGCAACTCTAATTAGCCTCCAGACGCCCCTAAGAGGCGACCTCTGCCTTGGACAAGAGCACTAGGGGGCCGCTCTCCCGGTGATGGGACACTTTTGCTCACGTTAGCCCCGGATCTGTGTGCCAGGCACGTGCGTTTTCACAGCCCCGCCCTCGAGCTGCTGGTCCAGCAGGGCAGACGCAAGAGCAAATGTGTAAAGAACTTTGGGCACACAGATCACAGGAGGACTAGTCCCGAGAGAAGGGCACCTCACGAGGAAGCCACAGAGAAGAGGCGCCGTTCGCCTGGGCCGGGAAGGGTGCGTGGGAGTGTGTGCGTGGGAGACCTAGGGGAGGACGTCACAGGCCGGGGGAGCCGGAGCCTGCCCAGTGTGCGAGAGTGTTGAGTGTCTACGTGTCTACATGTGGTGAGTGGCCAGAAAGGCAAATGGGCTCAGGACGGAGTTTATTCTGAAGACTGTAAGGGGTCACCACGGCCTGAAGGGGAGCTAGCCAGGTCAGTTGTCATCCATTTAGGGAGCGGTTCTCAACCTGTGGGTCGCGACCCTTTTGGGGGTCAAACCACCCTTTCACAGGGGTCACCTAAGACCATCGGAAAACACATATATAATTACATATTGTTTCTGTGATTAATCACTATGCTTTCATTATGTTCAATTTGTAACAATGAAAACACATCCTGCATATCAGATATTTACATGACGATTCATAACAGT